CAGATGGCTTCAAACAACTACTGAACTAAACTAAAACAATAAATCGCGATCAACGAACAAAGAAAGCGAACCGATTGTCACACGCAATGAAATGGAACTGAAAACTCTGAGCAACTTGCGCAGGAATAAAAACTTGGTTGGTTGCTGGTTGCTGGACGACCACCACACAAACAAACAACTTCTTGACAGCAGCAGCAGAAAGCAAACAAAAAAGAATAATCTCGCGTTCGCAACGCAACGCTTGCTGCAATTTGTGCATGTGTGGTGGTGCAGCAGCAGCAGATGGTTCCAGTTCCATTCCAGTCCGACTCAACTTCTTTCTTTTCGCATCAGTTTGCTCTCCGGGAGTTTTCCATCAGTTTCTCTCCAACGACTCTCTTTCTATGACAAGAGACCAACGGAAAATGGGAGTGATCGGGAGAAGAGGGGAGAAGCTTAATACAATTGTGGCTTATCTCCATCATTTTAGGCGAATTAAAAAAATCAATTAATAATAAAAGTATACTGCTGTATACAGCAGAGGTGACGTTATCCGCTTTATAACACAAACAACAATAGATAGTAATATTGATGAATGTAAATCAATTAATACAATATAAAATTAATGTTTAATATTGATGTTTTGTGATTTGGTGAACGCCTTTTTTCACATTTATATCGCTGTGAAGCAACTGAAAATTGTTGAGAGAATTTATATCTATAACTGTATAACCAGTTCGTTTTGTTTGCTAATCTGGTTAAGATGTGGTACTTAGATTGTTCTGTCATTGAGCGATTGATGTTTGTAAGTGAGGGCCAGAGACAGCAGGAGAGACCAAAATTTATGAGTTTCGTCCTTGTTTGTTGCGCGCGCAGTTTGCTCTCTCGTGGTTCTTTGTTTACGTTGTTCCATCGCATTCTCTCGCAGCTTTCACTCTCACTTTTTAAATGCACAACTAGGGACGTTACGATACTTAAAAGTATCGATACTTGATTCGATACTAGTATTGTATAGCAAACTGATACTGATATTTGCGATACTATCGAAACAAAGTATCGATACTTTTAAGTATCGAATCATTTGAAAAAAAAGCAATGTGATTGAATTTAAATTGAAAGTCCATTTTTAAGATCAATGACGAACAGTTTGTATCATTTTATTAAAAACAAAAGCATTTAAACCAACTAATTGAACCATTCAGCATCATCGACCCTTGCTAGAAATATTAGTTTCTGTAAATATTTTGCTGACAATCGGTTTCTGGTCTCAGTAATTATAGATCAAGTCTTTGAAAAGAGTCGCTCGCATGGAACAGAAGTTGCCATGCTGACCATATGCAACCTAGCCTGCTGATACAGCGCTGGAAAAACTGACTTCATGTCCTCCCATTGTTCCAACGGGTTCACATTTATTGAGCAAACCGGTCTCGCCAGGTACAATGCCAACTCATCGCCAGGATCAGTATGTACTTGTTTGTTTGGTTTGACGTAAGCGAGTGTCCTGTGGTGTCCCCAGAAGACGTACTTATCAGTTTGTTCCTCGATCACGTTAAAATCACCAACATCTGCTTCATCGTTGATACCATCTGATAAAGCTTCCCGGATTTTGTCGATCGCATTTGCGCAAGCAGATGGATCCTTTTAGTGGAGGGTCTTGAACCTGGGATCTAAGATTGTGGCCATTGCAACTAGAAGCGATTGCTCAATTTGCCCAAACCTCTTCTTAAGCTGCTTCGAAAAGCAGTCCTTAACTGAAAGTATCGCTGGGAGGTCACTTGAATGGGAAGATATTTGTGTTGTAATGCTGGATATACACAGGGCACGTCAATTGATCAAGTCAGTTGAATTCAACTCACTTGAACGCGAATTGAACGTGTAAACCATGCCATTCAACTAACTTGATCAACTCACTTGAATAAAAAAAATTTGAACCAGGCTCAACTTTTCAAGCCAATTGAATTCAACTGAGTTGATCATTTGACTCGCCTAATCTAAACCCAGCTTAAGGCAATTAACAATAACTTTTGAAAGAGTTACGTATTTTTCACTACTAAGCTCTCGGGTCATGAACTCGAACGGCCTGAGAAGGACTACGAGTTGCTTCAATATTTCAATATCCGTTGGAGAAGGCATTGGTGGACTATTGGTGTCATCCAAAAGTAGATCAGATATAATCTTCCTCATGTCGAGGAAGCGCTCAACCATGTGGTACGTTGAATTCCAACGAGTCCTTACATCCAGGATGAGCTTTTAAATGTTGCCTTCTTTGACGCCATTGTCCGCGATACCACGATAAAAATATCGATATTGGAGAAGTATCGATTGTAAAGTATCGATACTTAATTGCTTGGTATCGAAATAAAAGTATCGATACTTTACTGATATCAGTAGTATCGCAACGTCCCTATGCACAACCAGATGCACAATGAAAAATAATTCACAGCAATTGGAAAGTTGCCGTAAAAGCTCTAGGCAGATGTCGCCGCTGCATGATGATGATGCAGCTGACAGGCTACATAGAAAATTCATGAAAATGATCTGGGAAATGAGCATTATAGCACCATTTTCAGCAAACCTACAAAACACAGTGAACGTCATTCCAATCAGACTGATGTGCATATTTGACTTTTCCAGTTGGATTTTCATACGAAAAAATAATTTAATTTCACGATACCGTCAATACTAACATAGAGGTACGTTAATCGATTTGCTTGGGACCAATAGGCTAGTCAAGTATTGAGCCAATTCAAAATCGTTAGTTTCCACCATCGCACAAAAGATGTAAATAAAAGTAAAATAAAGATGATTTGCTTTATGATATCACTGTGAAAACTATCTAGAATCATTCTAGATTAGAGTTCCTGTTGATAAAATGAAGTTCAGCTGTATTTTCCATCGACATTTGTGAGTATCTAAATGTTTGCCTAAAAAGGATTATGAACTATTATTGAATATTACAACAATTTATCCAATATCACCACCATGTAAAAGTTTTCCTTTTTTTCTCTGTTCGGGACCTAACACCACTGCGACCAGTAATTTGATCTATTGTAGTATATCCCGTGTCCTTAGTTTAGTGCATGTCGTATTACCAACAATTAATTCGAAACTAACGATTTTAAATTGGCTCACTATTTGACTAGCCTATTGGTCCCAAGCAAATCGACTAACGTACCCCATTCTAGTATAAATTCCAGTACTACACTATGTTTGTTTTGATACGCTATGCAAGTTTGACAGATACAATGAGGGGTTCGCGGATTTTCCTATGTTTCGAGGGGCGCATCGATTAGGTTGGGACCGAAGATAGTACCAGAGCTGAGCCAAAAAGTTGAGCTCGTTTCTTCTGCTACCGTGTTGCTTAGAGCAACCGTACCAATGAGTAAATAAGGCACATTTACCAACCTCTACCATAACGCTACTTGCGCACCGTGGGAAGTAGTGAGTTCATAAATTTAGCAACCCGGTGGCAACGCATCAGACGGTTGCTATTTTGAATAAACGCCAAAAGTTTGTTTTGCCTTTGTGGAAAACGGTAACTTAAATTATGACTCTGATAGCAACGACCGGTGTGGAGAGGAGTGATAAAGCCAAAATGGAAACGCTGTGCGTAAGTAAAATAGTGCCGCAAATGACACCGACTGGTACGGTTGCTCTTAATTTGTGAACTCACTACTTCCCGAGGTGCGGATTGATATTTCCCTCACCTGAATAGCAACCCCTGGTACGCAAGTAGCGTTAAGGCCCAAGCGCAATGACAGCGTAAGCGGAACGGCAGCGGCAGCGGAAAAGCCCGATCTGAGCTCGGATCTGAGTAAGCCAACTTGTCGGATTGAAAACTAGTTAGAACCAAATCGACTTCGGTTAGGCATCTTGATGTCATTTGTGACAACTGTTAAATTTTCCGTTTCCGTTCTGCTTCCGCCCACACTGGGTTTAGGCCTTTATGGTAGAGGTTGTCAAATGTGCCTTATTTACTCACTGGTTGCTCTAACGCAGCAACCGCATCGGGTGTTGCTATTGAAGTGCGGGAAATAACAATATGCCTTTCGGTGAACAGTGGGTTAGCAAATTTGGCAGCGCGATAGCAACCGACCCAAGCGTTGCTATTTATCTGGGTACTGAGGACTAACTCAATATGCTTGACAGCTGGGAGCCAGTGTGAACTGTCAAACGGGAGTCAAACATACAGAAACCTCGCGTCACTTTTCAAATAGACCAATGTAACATATCCACCATTTTGAGAAAATCGAAATTGAAGTTCGACAGATTATTATTTTAACTGTTTAAAAACAATACATTTTGCAATACTATTTTTTAATGTAGTCAGTGTATAATAACGTTGAAAATTCAGAAGAAACGGTAAAATCACAATTTTACTTTGAATTCCATGCTACAACATAGAAAAAACCACATAGGACGTTTTGACAAGTCGAGTTGTACATCGGACATGTTACATTGGACGATTTTTTCTCAATGACATAATCAATTAGTGTTACATTGGACGTTTTGTCTACATGATACTAGATTTCCTTTCACAGATGTCATAGTAGAGTACCTAACTTTAGATTAGCCCCGCCTTTGGAAAATGAGCACCAATCATGTTAGGCAGTCCAAATGACCGAAGTAATAATCATATACCCATCATTTCAAACTGTACATTGGACAAGTTTTGATCAATGATTATCTTAAATAAATGAAAGTAAATTTGGATGGATGTTTTTGTATCACATACAATGATAGAAGAGCAATAGTTTGTATCGCTTAACTCGATTTGTTTACATTTGTTACATTGGTCTATTTGAAAAGTGACCATTAATGTGGTTACTCTTCTTACCTATAATAGTATAGATACTTGGCACTGATGAAGTCTGCAAGTAGTATAGACGAAATACGCGTATCTGTCAAAAGATAAGCAATTATAACGGAATTTAAAGAAAATAAACCAACGCACTCAAAGCTCTTCATAAAAGTCATTCCTTCTCAACATTTCAATCTGAAAAAAACTACCTCTCTTAAATCGCATTTACGCCTTTTATTCGTGTGTAATCACAAACTACCACAATTTATTTGAATAAATTAACATCTTGCATCTTAAAAGAGCTATTTTTTGTTTTGTTATATTTTTGTTGTCTAATGTAGTCACATCGGTGAAACTTAATATAAAGTAATTTATTTATCACCTGATTACTTGATCCTGTTTCCTCTCTCATGACTGTACAAAGTAAACACTACCAACATACACTTTCTTGATAACACAAAGATTACGACGCATCACTGGGCCCAACTACAGTCCAATGTACGAACAGAAGCAGAAAGTGATGAACAAAATTGCCACTATTGCGAATATTGCAACCCATGCCGGGAGTGAATCTGAAACGAGAATGTCGATCAATAACCAAAAAAAAAAAACGGTAAATGCCAGAAGGATCTTACGTCTATACTGCAAACTGTGCACGCACACTCGGTTATCGACCGAGATGGAGAGGACGGCCGCCTCGGAGTTGGCACTGATAGCCGGACCGTCAAAGTTCGTTACGGGCAGGAACTCCAACCCGGTCACAAACATTGCATGAGCATTCGGAATGTGCAGCACCCGCTGCAGGCTAAATGCAATGTAGATCGACACCGAACCACTGAACATGGTCCCAACGGCCACGAAGCGCCCGTCGTCCCGAACGGCCAAGGCAGCGAGCGATTCATCGATCTCCACCACGCGACTCAACCGACCAACGTCCGGATCCCACTGCTGCAGCAAACCTTTGGCTTTGCCCGATTTCGAAAACGGATTGGCCAACGTGAATAATCGGTGCTTGTCCTTGTGCCCTTCGATGAGCCCATAGCGACATCGCTTGAACAGATATCGGGTGCCTTCCGGCGGGTTCCACGTCAGCTTTCGAGACTCCTTATCCGGATTGATCGACCAAATGACACCCAGTCCATCCTTGGCTATCGATACGATATACTTATTGTCAGGGCTAAAGTCCAAATCATCGATCTCCTTTGTGTGAGCCGATATGTCCGACAGCATTGTCATCTTCGGAAAATTCCACAGTCTCAAGTGGCCATCCGTTCCGCCTGTTGCCATCAGGCGTCCATTGGGACTGATTCGGACAACTCGCTGCAACGGTTCCGCTTCCGTGAAATCCGTCTGAATCGAATCGCTGGTTTTGATCTCGAAACGTATCACCTTCCTGGCACGATCCTTATCTTCGTCGCCGCCCTTCTTCGGATCCGGCTGCTGTTGATTGGCCGTAGCTTGTCCATTCGCCTGAGGTTGATAGGATACGTTCTTCCGCTTGCGCAACCCATCCAAGGTTTCTGTTTTCCCTCCTGCATATTCACCATCTGACGAACTGATAATCGGATTCACTAGATACATTTGGCAGTGACTTTCCTGCCCCGCAACCAGCAGGGTCCGTTTCTCATCGTTCTTGGTGGCACAGTTCATGACCACCGTGGGTCCGGTTTCGTGTCGGATCACCTCATCTGCCACGTACTTTTCGCCGTTGTGGTATATTTCGTAAATTTCCTGAAAGATCAAATTCGAAACTCGAACCAACCGTACCTAATCAAATTATAATTCAGGTATGGGTACTTACAAATCCATTAGCCACTCCGGTCTTGGAGGCTCCGCCACCGCCAGCCACTAGGACGTGTCGACTGGTGAGCATTTCTATTGCATACAGGGGAAAATTTACCCGGGCCAGCAGGCCATCGTTGGGTTTCCTCGTCGGGGCCATCCTTCTTTCGGACTGTGGCCAGATCTACAGCTGGGCGAGCGGGAAGTTACTTACTTTATTAAATATTAAACTACTATTTTTAATCGATTTTCATCAGCAGATTCAGAACCCACTGGATGATTGTAGGGAGAAAACATTCACACACAACACTTTCGTTTTTCTTTTCTGACTTCCACGTATTTCTGTCAAACTCGGCTGTCATTTAACAGCGAGCGAGCGAAAAGAGGGGAAAACGTAACGGCAGTCGCAAAAATGGGCGTTATCCAGCAAAGCGCAATGTGCAGTAACGTGTTTAGGATTATATTTCGGATTGAATATTGAATAAGGGGTTCGAAGTATATGTGCGTCTGGACGTGGATTTTCTTGACATTTCTATTCGCACGTTATAATATAATTTTATATATCAAGAGCAAATTTTCATTACGTCGTTAACATATATAATATATTGTTTTTTTTACAGGTACCCGAGCAGATACCAAAGTGTGCCGAATAAAAATTTACCATACAAAATATGTTATGGTATAGATACCCGCATAAACGCGAACCATATCTTGACTTTACCTAAAATGGTTAAAAATTGTTTATAATCCCTGCTAAACTTTAACTGAAATGGTTATGGAACTTTACATGAACGTTTGTGTGATTATGTTTTTACCTTATGTATTATGGTTTTTTGGAAGTGAACCTTACATATAATGGGTTGTTAAGAACCAATACCATTCAAAATTCTTTCGAGAATTCTTTTTTTCTCCATACATTTTCGGAAAGAAAACTATATTAGAACATTTTTACTTATAGTTTGAGAATTTTGATGATAATGGTTACGGTAGTCAGTAAGGTCCATGGATGGTTTTGCATTGTCGGTCAACTTTACGTGGAATATATCCCGAATTGGTGATCATTAATTTACAAGCAACCTATTGGGAGATTGCCGTAAAAGCTCGACGCAGATGTCGCCACTGCATGATGATGATACAGCTGACATACTGCATATAAAATTCGTGAAAATTAGCATTAATTACAATTTTCCGTTGCGTTTTCCATCGATGTATGTGCATCAATATGTTAACCTACACGGATACGAATTTTGTTCATTTAAAACAAAAATATAAATGTTTATACTCTAAACATATGAATTATTCAAAGTAAATTGAAAGCATGTTTAAAACTAAAATATTTATGTTTGAATTAAATTAAAAAGCATGTTTATTTCAACAATATAGGATTTGGGTAAACGGTTTTTAGCGTGTCATGCCTTTTTATTTCCTTCTTGATACATTCAGAAAAAGTTGCCAAAGCTTTGCTCTACCTCAACAGAAAACGGTTTTCCATTCCGAATCCATTCCGGATCCTCCTGCGACACCGAACATAGAAAGAAACCGGTATGAGGACCAGTGGCAGAAACCGAGGCAGAAAAGGTAAAACGACGCCAATAACACAAATTTTCACCGGTTCCACTGAACTGGAACTCCCAGACATCCACCCCGACGGGTCTTCGCATCCTGGACCAGGATCCAATTCCCACAGGTCACACTTAATCGCACCCAAAAAAGAGCAGGAATGTTGATGCCCTGCCCGAAGATCTTATTTTATCATTTCTTTGCAAACCGTTTTATTTTGCTTTACCCTGCACTCAAATACTAAAATAATTTCAAAATATGTATGTTTTTTTTAAACATGAGAAGCATGTTTAAAATAAACATATTTATTATTGTTCGCATAGCTGTCAAACCAAACAAAAACAAATACGTTTATTTTCAACACGAATATTTTTGAAATAAACGTAACATTATTTTTATTTTAAACATTGATTTCACATGACTTCAAACATGGAATACGTTTGAAATCAACCTAATTTATGTTTGTGACCAGAACAAACTGAGTTTACGTTTGAATTTACCTCAAATATTTTTGTTTCGACGATAGTTTTTTCTCCGTGTAAAAAAAGGCCAAAATGAACATTTATTGAATATTAACGTCCTATACAACCATTTCTCCATTATCACCAGCATTATACAATTTTTCCTAAGTAAATTCACTTAATTTCCACTTTCATCCTAGTGGAAATCGCACATATTCACCATTTTCCGAAAAATGCAACTGTGCAGGAGGTAACCTCTACCTGTGGATGCAAACTTGTTATGCATAATTTTCCATGAAAACATCTCCGATCCATACCGAAATAATAACAATTACTTTGCAAACACATTTTCTTACACAATTCAAGCAAAAGTTTCCACCGAAAATTATTAGTTTTTCTTTATGTACCGATTTGCGCCAAAAATCGTCTGTTTTACTTGCAGAATTTGAAAACTATCCTCCTTCTAGTAGTTCTCACTTCGAAATGTAGGTGGCGAAAGCTTGGAAAAGTTTCACTGCAAGGCGCCAATAACAATGTGCGTTAATTTGAGATGTTAAAAATGTCATTTTGATGTAAACAAACGGTTTTATTGACGTGTATCTTGAATATTTCCATCGAGAGGGGTGTTATAAGAGGGGTGGAAACTAACGATTTTAAATTGGCTCACTACTTGACTAGCCTATTGGTCCCAAGCAAATCGATTAACGTAACCCATTCTAGTATAAATTCCAGTACTACACAATATTTGTTTTGATTCGCTATGAAAGTTTGACAGATAAAATGAGGGGTTCGTGGATTTTCCTATGTTTCGAGGGGTGAATCGATTAGCTTGGGACCGAAGATAGTAACAGAGCTGAGCCAAATAGTTGAGCACGTTTCTTCGGGACCTACTAGTCTTAGAGTTACCTCTATGGTATTAGCATGGAGGTAACTCCATAGAGGTAACTCTAAGACTACTGGGTCCCGAAGAAAATCATTATTATTTTTGGCTCACTCAGTACCAGAACAACGGTCCCAAGCAGTCCCAAGCTATTTCACTCACCCCTGCATGTTCTGCATGAAGCCACACACCCCTGATGTTATCTGTCAAACTTTCATAGCGAATCAAAACAAACATAGTGTAGTAATAGAATTTCAACTAGAATAGGGTACGTTAATCGTTTGCTTGGGACCAATAGGCTACTAAAGTGGTGAGCCAATTTAAAATCGTTAGTTTCGTATTGATTGTTGGTAACTCTAAGACCACTGGGTCCCGAAGAAAATCATTATTATTTTTGGCTCACTCAGTACCAGAACAACGGTCCCAAGCAGTCCCAAGCTATTTCACTCACCCCTGCATGTTCTGCATGAATCCACACACCCCTGATGTTATCTGTCAAACTTTCATAGCGAATCAAAACAAACATAGTGTAGTAATAGAATTTCAACTAGAATAGGGTACGTTAATCGTTTGCTTGGGACCAATAGGCTACTAAAGTGGTGAGCCAATTTAAAATCGTTAGTTTCGTATTGATTGTTGGTATAAGGCTAAACTTCAGGCAGGCTTTTCAGGTTAAGGAGGGGTGAGACATGGCACTTTTGGCCCTCCAATTATTTTCAATAGGGCAAAAGTATAATTTTGCCCTCCCCCAAATAATGATCATACATTTTTAAATTTAAGCTACTATCCCATTCTGAGTGGTGCGAAGTCGATCACTTTCAAATTTCAAGTTATCATTTATATTACTCCGCTCACAAATTGGTTTCCTTTTTTCCAGAGCAAATATGAGAACTCATTTATGACTTTCTCATTATTTGATTACAATTGCTTGAATCCGCATTTTGAGAAAGGATGCGCACACCCTCGAACAAATTTTAACCTTCTGTCACTTGACTCAACTAACAAATCGAATTCGTTAGTTGGGCCGAGGTGGTGGTCTAACCAGCGAATTTCGACTGTAGTGAAAATTGATATGGTCCGGCGTGGACTATCATTTGCAATCATTTCGTGCATTCAGTTACATTAATTTGCGTCTAACTTTTTTCGTCATCAGAATTCCGTAAAATAATGTATGAAGCTTTTGTAGATTTTTAAATTAGCTTCAACCTTTTACCAATACTCAAACCTGTATCTCTTATGCATGACGAGCTAGTGCGGGCAGAACTTGTTATTGTTTTTCAGTGAATATAATTTACATTCACTGAAAAACAATGGTGGGTTCTGTTCGCTCTGGTTCACCACGCAAAAGATATACACATTTGAGTTATTAACAAAAGTTGTAGTTAATATCCAAACCTACAAACCTTCATACCTTATTTTACGGAATTCTGATGATGAAAAAAATTAGAGGCATGTGAATGTGAATGAGTGCACGGAATAAATGTCAATGATTTTCCATGCCTGGGGACATGGTGACCCCGGAGACCGAAGCCCAACACTCTGAACACGAACGAACTGACGGTAGAACATTGGGGGAATCAGGCGGCATATCAAGCGATGGAGAAGAAAAGTAAAGTCAAATTCAGATGGATTAAGACGAATAAATCGAGGGGGTTGACTCTATCAACGATGCAGGAAAGATTTTGTGTTGTTGTGGTTAGCTGCGCGCACGCTGAGTAGATAGAAAGAAGATTGATGACGATTCTGGAGATTTCCTGCAAAAAGATGATGCTCGATGCAAGTAGATGCGAGAAATGAGAGAAGATTTTTCGTAGATTGATTCGCTAGTGTGATGCCACCCTAAGAACTAACTTAAAACTTGTATTATTGCATATAGTACCGTGGACCCCCGGTAATCTTATTTTTGATTACAAACCTGTCAAAGCAAACAGAAGCAAACATACACGAATATTTTTAAAATAAACGTAGCATGATTTTTATTTTAAACATTGATAGTAGTTCTACTTTTACCGAAAGCGAGTAGATTTTTACTCACTTTAGAGTAAAAATGAATGGGCGTGTTCAATTAGCTTGAGACCAAAGGTCTGGTACTTCCTGAACTAAAAGATTGAGCATGTTTCTTTGGGACCCCCTGGTTTTAGTGTTAGTCTATGTTAAAAGCACAGAGAACAGGCGTCCAACTTCCGTCAGAAACTTGTGGAAAGATAAATCGCCGTTAAGTGGCGCTAGCATCTCCTGATTTCTTTTATAAATTTTACATTCGACCAATTTTTTGTAGTGTCGATACATTTTCGACGCTTCGTGGTTACTTGGGTCGCTTAGAGTCGGTGTATTATCGTTATGTTGCTATAATGACGTCGGAATTCGCTAGTCTGACTACCCGAGCAAAGTCGGTTAACAAAATGAAAGCAAATCGATATTAAAGTTTGCAGTTCCTATCATAATGAAAACTCATTTGGATTTCAGTTGTCGCGACAGAAGTCTGATATCATATTGGGCTTTCATTATGCAGTCAAGACTTTTTTAATCTGCCGTTAATTTCGTGTTTAAAATTTGATTTAAGTTCATCCGTCGTTGAACTAACGATTATTGTTTATTTGTTTTGTTTAACACATTTTAGGTCATTCGTGACTAGCCCGAGGTGAGATTTGAGCTTAATTCTTTCAGCGTGAGAAGCATGGATGCTAACCATTTACGCCAGGCCCGTATTCAGTTTAACATTATGAATGCAAAATCAGTAATCACATTGATTTCATTGAAAGCTGAATTAGTTTTCCGTTTGATTCAACAGTGTAAAATTTTGCTCTCATTTTTGCTGTGTTAACCGTTAAGTCAACCAAAATGAGATCAACTGGAGTATTCAAAATAAGTTACATCATAACAGCAAATTCTGATTTCAATTTGATATCTAGCTTTGCTCGGGTAGCGCGCTTCGGTTTAGTGCCAACGCTTACGAACTGTTACATACATTAATTAGTCTACATCAACCGAGATATGAACTCAAAAATAATATTTATTTACCATAATCAGTCAGTTTTGTTCTAAAAGCTAAATAACATTACAGTATTCACTGCAATAAACGAGAGGGTTCTAAATTTCCTCGCTTACAGCTGTAATCAGTTTTCCCCTAACTGAATCCGGCAATGCCGGTTCAGATTCCCCAGTTCTGCTTCGAAGATGGCATCGTTGATGAGCTTTTCCACGTAAATACGCTGCTCATCTGGCAAGGCTCGAAGCTTAAATGCAATATTGTGACCGAATGCATCGTGCCTATCTTCACATTTACCAATTTGGATTTGATCATGATCTGCTATGTTTAAAACATCGTCACATTTTCGTTTCCTCGAGTTAACTGCGTCCAGACAGGAGTACATTTCCATGGACTCCGATGGACTTCCGTTCATTAGGGCTAGCTCGAATGTTGCCTCCGTTGGTGGCTGTGAGGAAGCTTCCTCGTCGTTATCATTCCGCGGTGGTGAATCCAACTAAAATTCCCAAAGAAATCGATTTGTTCCGCAAATGAGTATCTCACTCATCAACTAACCTGAACTTTGACGGGCCTAATGTCGATGCTATCGGTATCGGAATCGTCATGCCCATCCAGAAACTCCAACAAATGGTAGTACCAAAGCGAAGGTTCATACAGGCCGCCACTCAGCTCTGCCGCCCGTATTTTTCGTTTTTCCTTCCGATAGTTGCTACGCAGGTTGTTAATCTTCCTGATGACCGACACTCGATTGGCATCCGGTTCCATTTCGCTTAATTTTTTGGCCATCAGCTTGTAGGCTTCGATTTTCATTGGCCGATCAGCGTACTGTTTGCACTGCACTTTCCACAGGCACGGCAGGCTTTTGTACAGTTCGATAAATTCCCGTACGATCGGTCGTAACAATTTTTTCTTCATTGCTAAACTATTGATTTACCATCACTCGACAATGTATATGCAGAAGGTATTTTAAATTCAAATTTTCACAAATCGACCTGTGCGATAAATATTGTACAGTTCTGTTTTGCGATTGATGCAGGTTTGTTTTGAACGTTCAAGCGAGAGCCGAAAGTGCTGGCAGTTCTATGCTGTATATTTTATTTATTTACCAACATGCTCGCCTAGATGTATACCTATAGGTACATGGAAAGCAGTGATAAAATCATTGGCGATGACGGTGACTCTGAAACTCTTTACTCCTGTGGGAATTGCCATAAGCATCTGTCAGTTTATGCGTGAAACATGGCACAGCATTTTTAAATTGTGTGATTTTTTAGCCATTTGCTAGTTCATCATAGCAAAAAATCCCATACACGCTAACTTGAAAGTACTCATTAATGGTTGAAAAAGACCCATTTTGAAGAAAAGTGGCTTAACTCATTAAATGAGTAAATTTTTTACCCATTAATGAGTATCTGTTACCCATTAATGAGTAATTGTTAATCATTAATGGGTAACAGATACTCATTAATGAGTAAAATTGTTTAATCATTAATGAGTTAAGCCACTTTTCTTCAAAATGGGTCTTTTTTTACTCATTAATGAGTACTTTCAAGTTAGCGTGTAAGAAACCGTCAATCTTTGCGTGTAGATGCGGTGGCTTCATGGTGCCGTCAACGCGAATATTTAACCCTTTGTCTGTACCTCTAAAATAAAGCTAAGTTCATTGCACAAATCCTTTCAAACGGGTATTAAATCAAATTCGAAAAATGTCTCAATTATAAGAAGCAGGCATATCAAGAAGACTTTAGCATGCTTTTAATATGCACATTATTGGTTTAAGAGATTTGAGATTTGGTCACAGTGCGAAATTCGTTGTCACCTGTTGTCTTATGTTACACCAGTTTATGAGCTAAGAGCTGATAATGTTAGGTTACGTGCGATCACGTACACTTTGAGAGAATTTTAGTTAGGAATAATTTCACGAAGATTAAAGTTCAGTACAGGTAAATAAACTTTTCAATTGGAACCACTAAACAATGACGAATTCATTGTATATGCTGATATAATTGCAAAGTGTTTAAAGCATTAAACCTGCCTTAGTTTGAGCCGTATCTTTGAACGGCCTACGTAAAAGCAACACTTTCAAGTTAGCCTTGTGAAACCAGGTGCGAATAAGGTAAGCCGCATATATTGCTTGGACGAGAACCGAAGGGCTATGTAAGTTATAGGTTTAATAACCGTTTATTGGCAGGGCAGACACTGCTAGCATAGAGGTAACTCTAAAGGGCCACCCACATTAGATCCGTTTGCGTTGCGTTGACGTAAATTTGACAGTTAGACAATAGATTTAGCTGTCACTTTGCCGTAACGCGTCCGATCCGGATCTAATGTGCGTGGGCCTTAAGACTAGTAGGTCCCTAAGAAACTTGTTCAACTTTTTGACTCAGCTCTGGCATCGACAAAATGTATGGGGGAGCGAGACACTTTCATATTCGCGGCTCTATGTGACGCTGTAGTGGGTCGATTTTCTTCGTGTTCAAAATGTAGAACCTTTGGAGTTTTGGGAACATCTTGCCCCAAGACCGGACGTGAATGCGAGTTACCCCCGAAAAGTTATTAGCGTTTCAAATGAACATCAACTGCCTTACTTCTGGGGAGGGCCTATCCCAAGTAACCTAAAGGTCTGATACAAGGCTAGCTTAGATTGGGTAGTCGTCTAGAACAAGGTGATGCTGGAAATCCACAGCAACAGGCATCTATGGGTAGTGCTGATTAAAATTTTAACAAAACCAACCCACAACCTGGTTTTAAATACTGAGAGTCCACTGGAAGTCCATCCAGTGACCCGGATCAACCTTCATCTTGATTAGTAGGCCTTGATTATTCTCTGCAACTATATGGAATGTAGTAGAATGGTGTTTTTTTTTATATACCAGATAGGACACCAGATGCCCCGCCGAAAGGTTTGGAACATCCTTAAAATTAATTGCTGCGTAAATTTGATCAATGTAGGCCTTGACTTGTATCTGCAACTATACGAAATGAAGACAAATTGTGATATTTGACATATAAGCTGATCATTGGCTCCCAGTGCACAATGGTCCCAAAGCCGTATTTAGGAAGACAAAAATGTTTGCGCTAAAACTGTTGATTTTAGGCATATGGTGTCTTCCGGAAAGTTTCTTCATACTTTTTGGCCAACTTTTTTATGTTAGTGAAATAAGGGTGGTCCATAAAATTGGTGAATTTAAAATGTGAACTTTTTATTATGTGAGATAGATCAGTGCAATGTTCTAGAAAGTTGCAGAACAATCAATTTGCGGCACCTTTGCTCAAACCATCAAACTTCCATCTCTTATGGTTCATGAGTTATGATTTTTTTAAACAAGCAAGTTAGGGTGGCCCCTGAAAAATTGGTTTTCTATGAATATCTTTTCATACGTTCATTTATCTTAGAACAAATGTTGTAGACACTTTTAGGGGCCTCCCTTAGCTCAGTCGGTAAAGGCGCAGCTACAAAGCAAGACCATGCTGGAGGTGGCTGGGTTAGATTCCCGGTACGGTCTAGGAATTTTTCGGGTTGGAAAATTTCTCGACTTCCCTGGGCATAGAAGGTATGATTGAACTTGCCACACAATTATACCAATGCAAAAATAGTACAGGCATCGAAAGCTCTCAATTAATAACTGTGGAAGTGCATCTAGAACACTAAGTTGAGAGCACGCAATAAGCTAATATGCGATATGCAATAAGCTTCACATGCGAAGAAGAAGAAAAAGAAGACACTTTTAGAACTTTCAATGGCAAATATTATGGCTGAAGCAACTAAGTTGCTATCTTTTTTTATTGGAAAGTTAAAGGCGATTTTCTTAAAAAAACTGGCCTTTTTCAATTGTCAATGTCTCTAAAAGGAGCTAACCGATTTTCAAGTTTTTAATTTCATTTGAAAGATCATTATGTTTTACACTTACGGTGGGAAAACTGTGAGATCGACTTTTGTTTAAAGCATTTAATTTAATTTTAAAAAATTCACATTTTTATGCAAAAAAAACTGCCATAACTATTCAAAAAATGGAGATAGTTTCTTAATTGCTTCGGCAAAATTGTGCGCCATCAAAAGTTCTAAAAGTGTCTAAAACAAAGTTTTTGCGAGGAATCAATGTATGAAAAGATAATTGTGAAAAAGTGATTTTTAGGTAAGGTTTAGACAGATTATTCCAAAGCATTCCACAGTATATTTAAATCTTAGCGTCCATATAAAGCAGTGATAATTGCCGAAGCAATTAAGATACTATCTCATTTGTTTGAAGAGTTATGGCAGTTTTTTGCATAAAAATATGAAATTTTTAAAATTAAATTAAATGCTTTAAACAAAAATCGCTCTCGCAGTTTTCCCACCGTAAATTAACAACATAATGATCTTTCAAATGGAATTAAAAACTTGACAATCGGTTTGCTCCTTTTAACACTCCGAATACGATGCCTACGAAAAACGTGTAACGGCAAGTTTGCAATGGCACAACTTAGCCATTTCTTAATGAATTTCAAAAATTGTGGTACCTTTAGAATTCCTAGGGTTTCTAGATGATATTGATTGCAAACAACTTGCCAATAGAGTCGTCTACTTTTTTCAAAAAGCGAAAAGAGTTGTTACACGTTTTTTTGAAAGGTGTGTTTGTAGGGTTTTGCAAGTGGCGCAAGATCTGTAATTTAGATTAATGGGCACAAATGTTCACAATTAGCCAAAATACAGTCATGGTTCCTATATATGGATTCTGGAGACAACGGAACGGTCCTCAAAAAATCCGGAACATCCGTAAAAATGGTCAATCCATGATCCTGATCCTAGAGCTCTGCGGTTTTTTTGAAAACATTAGGAACTGTGATATAAACAAATATTTGGGGTCGTGACATAAACATGTACCTGGATGGCCATGGGACCGTCCTCCGGAAGATCCGGAACATCCGTAAAAGTGGACAATCCATGAAACTGATCCTAGAGCTCCGTGTTTTTTTTAACATTAGGATCTGTGATATAAGAATGAATTTGGGTCATGGACCAAGATGGCCATCGGACCGTCCAGTGGAAGATCCGGAACATCCGTGAAAGTGGTAAATCCACGATCCTGATCCTAGAACTCCGCGTTTTTTTTATTAACATTAGGAACTGTGATGATAGAAAGAATTTGGGCTTGTGACATAACCATGAACCTGAATGTCCATAGGACCGTCCTCCGGAAGATCCGGAACATCCGTAAAAGTGGTAAATCCACGATCCTGATCCTAGAGCTCCGTGGTTTTCTCGAAAACATTAAGAACTGTGATGATAGAAAGAATTTAGGCTTGTGACATAAACATGAACCTGGATGTCAATGGGAACGTCCTCCGAAAGATACGGAAAATTCGTGAAAGTGGAAAATTAACGAAACTGATCCTAGAGCTCCGTGGTTTTCTTGAAAACATTAGGAACTGTGATATTAGAATGATTTTGGGATCGTAACATAAACATGGACCCAGATGGCCATTGGAACGTCCTCCGGAAGATCCGAAAAATTCCGCAGTTTTTGAAAAAAAAACACTAAGAACTGAGATGATAGAATGAATTTGGGGTCGTGACCTAAACATGGACCTTGATGGCCATGAGACCGTCCTCTGGAAGATGCGGAACATCCGTGAAAGTGGAAAATTCTCATAACATAAACATGTACTCAGAAGGCCATGGGACCGTCCTCCGCAAGATCTAGAACATCTTTAAAAATGGTCAACCCTCGAAACTGATCCTAGAGTTCTACGGTTTTTTCGAAAGCCTGTGGAACTGCGATATAAGAAATATTTTGGGGTCATGACATAAACATGGACCCAAATGGCCATGGGGCCATCCTCTGGTAAGTCCAGAACATCCGTAAAAGAGGTTAATCAATGAAACTGATCCTAGAGCTCCGCAGTTTTTTCCAAAAATATTAGGAACTGTGATATAAGAATGAATTTGTGATCGTGACTTAAACATGTACCTAGATAGTCATGGGACCGTCGTCCGGAAGATCAAGAACATCCGTAAAATGGTCAGTCCATA